CATGGGGGCAAATCCTTGAGGGCCCACGCGAGGGGCCCTCATGGATCGCCCACATCATTGACTTGCAAAAATTTCTAAGTCCAAACAAAAAATATTTTTTTACATAACAAAAATTAATATTTATAATGATTTTAAACAATAAAAAACGCGTTTTTAATAGAAATGTTTTGACATTTTTTTGAAAATATTGAACTTACATGAGGGCAAATCCTTGAGGGTCCACGCGGGGGGCCCGCATGGATCGCCCACATCATTTACCAGCAAAAATTTCTAAGTCCAAAAAAAACAATTTTTTTACAACAAAAAATTAATGTTTATAATGATTTTAAACAATGAAAAACACGTTTTTAACAAATATTTAATGTTACTTTTAAAAAAATATAACACTCACATGAGGGCGAATCCTTGAGGGCCCACGCGAGGGGCCTGCATGGATCGCCCACATCATTGACTTGCAAAAGTTTCTAAGTCCAAACAAAAAATATTTTTTTACATAACAAAAATTAATGTTTATAATGATTTTAAACAATGAAAAACATGTTTTTTGGTATGGTGTATTAGTGTCAATAATGTTTTATTGAATCATCAAAAGCAAGTCAGCTAGTCACCTACTATAAAGAAATAAATTTCAAGTAGGTCCCTTAGCACAGTGGTAAAGCCATTAAAAAACTGCCGCACAACTTCATAGATGCTCTTGCAATATTATATAATAACATGCTAAATAACGCATATTTTCCTCCTAAATGGAAAATACTCTCTAAATCTGAATTAGTAGAAAGTTACTAATGAAATGGTGAAAAGTCGTCCACCAAATGATTTAGTAATATATTACTAACAAATAGTAAATTTTACTAATTGATTAGTAGAACTGTTTTATTAATAGTCGATAAAACAGTTTTACTAATTCATTTAGTGAAATGAGTGACTTTTAATTAGTGAATTTCTTTTAAAATATTAGTAAAATTTTACTAAGAATTAGTAATATTCTACTAATTAAAAAGGGGAAAAGTCGTCCATGAAAACTACTAAAAATTAGTCAAATTTTACTATTTCTTAGTAGAATTCTACTAATTCAGATTTAGAGAGTAGCCTGCGTTAAACCCCTCCCAAAAAAAGATAAGGACCCATCGAGGACCACCAGTTACAGGCCAATTAGTTTGCTTCCTAATCTTAGTAAATTATTTGAAATAATTATCAATAATTCAATTAACAAATTTTGTAAAGAAAAAAAAATAATTCCAAACGAACAATTTGGATTCAAAAGTAAAATCTCTACTATGCACACGATCACTAAATTAACCTCAGATATAGTGTTCTTAAATTCTCGAGAATTTAAGTTGGGGTAATTTCCCTGAGGAAATTACGGTAATTTAATTTTTTAAAGAGAATATAAGAGAATTTAAGAGAATATTGAGAATTTAAGTTTATTTATTTAAATAATGTATATTTATTATTTTTATTAATATAAATACATATAATTCAGCACAATTGCGATGATTACTTTTATCTAAAAAAATTCTTTAAGTTATATATGTAAATAAAAAAAAGTAAAACCACAAATTTTTTAAGTTATAAATTTAATGTCATTTGCATTTATAAGGTTTATAAAATATGCGTAACTTAATACGAATAAAAGTTTAGATACTTTTGAATATAGATAAATAAAGAATAAGGATTATATTTAACATTATATACAATGAATTAAAAAATTTTTTAAATAAATATTTTGAAATTATTTGTGAATAAAGGCTTTCTGTCAGCTCTGCTGGGAGAGAAAGAGAGAAAAACCATTTAATTTGAATTTTCTGACTCTCTTGCTCTTATGTGTTACCATGACAACCTGCAGTCAGTAGAGCTGTGCAAGTACCTTTAATATATAGGGTGTTTTCGGTATGTTCACGGATCATGATCCGGATCACTCAGTGGTGCTCAATCGATTGAAAATGTAAATTCTTACTATTTCTTAAACTCTTCACTCTGATTGGCGCAAAAATTTTAAATTAATGAAAAATATGAAATATGTCTTAGTTTCTAGAAAAAAATAATACAAACACATCTCGATTTTTCTAACATTTCCTATAATTCCCCAAGAAGTTGTCTACTTTTCTCTCAGAGTATGATCTGTTTTTATTTCAGATTAAAGATTTTAGAGTAAAATAGAAATAAAGAATTGTCAGACATTATTTAACCTTAATTTGGAATAAAGAAAATTTGAAGTAAAGAAAAATGCAAAAACATCAATAATTTCTTTTTTAAATAAATATTTAATCATTATTACTTTTCTGTAGGAATTAAAATTCTTCAATACATTCAAATTCAAACCTTTTTAAAATTCAACAATTTATAAGAATATTATTACAAAAACTTTTTTTGTTATAATTCAAATTACCATGAAATTTTTCAAAAAAAAATTTAATTATTTACAAAAATCCTAATAAAATCCTTCGCAGGAATTGAATTATTTTCAAAAGTAGTACATTTTCTCAAAAAAATTAAATTATTTAAAAAAATTGTAATAAAATTCGTTGCAATAATTCAATTATTTTCATAAATAATAAATCGATTATTCGGTAAATTCATTTTATAATCAATTTTTATTAGAAAATTCTAGAAAAATTCAATTATCTAAATTAAAAAATAAATAATTTAATGAATAATTGAATGTTTGTTAAAATTGAATTCTCATAAACAATTTTATCAACAAATTTTTAAATAATTCAATTATTTCGACAAATTTTAATGAAATTTTTAAGAATAATTACATTTATCGCAGAATTTGTTTAAAAAATTGTATAAAAAATTACTTAAATCCTGCAATGAGTTTTATTATTTATGAAAATAATTAAAAATTTTTCCAAAAATGTTATTAAAATTTCTCTAATATAATTGAATTTCGGTAAAGAATTTTATTGTTTATAAAAATAATTAAATTCATTCGACGAATTTTATAAAAATCTTTTTAAATAATTGATATTTTTCGAAAAATTTTATGAAATTTTGTATATTAAATAATTGAACTCGTGAAAATTTTATTATTTATGAAAATAATTGTAGGTATTATTTCAAAGAAATTTATTAAATATTGAATAATTGAATTCCTGTGGAATTTTGACAAGAATTTTATTAAAATTTTTAAAAATAATTGAATTTCGATGAAGAATTTTATTATTTATAAAGATAATTGAAATTTTGACAAGAATTTTTTTTAAAAAATTTTAAATAATTGAATATTAAAGAATTTTACTATTTATAAAGATAATTGAAATTTTGACAAGAATTTTTTTAAAAAAATTTTAAATAATTGAATATTAAAGAATTTTATTATTTATAAAGATAATTGAAATTTTGACAAGAATTTTTTTAAAATTTTTGAACATAATATTTCTTGTAAAATTAAGTTATTTAAAAAGAAATTATTGTCTGAAATAGAAAAAATCCAAGGTTTTGTATTAAGATTCGTGGTAATTTCATAGTTTACGAGGCAAACAAAAAAAACATCAAACTTCAGAGTTTTCTCATGAATTTTTAAAATTCAATTTTTTTCAGTACTTTTACTAAAAATCCCTTATTTTTCCCTAATTTCCCTGACTTTCCTGACCTGTGGCAACCCTTTTTATTTCACTAATTATTTGGACATTTGCAAAAACTTATACTTCTTTCTTTATACAATAAAAATAATTGAGCAAAATCTGTTAAGATTTACTTAAGTTATTCGACGTTATCAATAAACAGTCGATATTTTATAAATATATATTCGCAGTTTTTACTTTTTACTTAGCGGCGATTCTCTACTGCGAATCTTGATTTTAATAAATTGCACTATTTTTAAATTGAAACAGTTTTTAAACTAGAATTAAATTCATTTGTACACTGTAAAAAGAAGGCATCTTATTTTTTAAGATACTTTGGTAGTCACGTTTAAGTCATTTCCAAAAAGTTATCAAAAGCATCTTAAAATGCATTAGTTTCTAAGATGGAAGTTGGAAAAATAAGATGTTTTAAACGTTTTAAAAGTGACTACAATGTATTTTAAGATGCTTGTTTTTGTAGTGTATATCATCTTTATCTTAACTATTTAACATTTTTTATATTTTTTGTTATAACAAAATTTTCCAATCTATTTACTTATTGTATAATAATTAATAAAGGAAAGTATGATTTTGAAATAAAAGAATCATAAAGAATATAAACATATTGTAAAATAATTTTTTTAAAAAATATTTTACAAAGTCTGTAAACTAAATATTAATATCACTTTAGCTTATTAATCTCATTAACAGAAAAATAAATTGACGTTTAGACAAAATTTTCTTATAGGAATAAATAACAAGTTTACATAATTCAGTCGGACTTACATTTGACAAACTATCAAACTAAAAGAAATAATTTTCATAAGAAGCATCTTCAGCATACTCAACTATACAAAATAAACTCACACATCAACTAGCAATTTCTTGAAGCGTACTGCAAAAGAAATATCTATATTTTGAGTTTTAAAAAATACTCTTAAAATATAGAGTTGAAAATAAAAAGAAATATCAAAGTTGTCTTTGGCTTGGAGCACAAAATAATATAATTTGGTCAAATTCGTGATGGCACATTCCTCTTTTAATTTGAATATGTGACATTTTATTGATTCTCAATCATTACCCAGTAAAAAAAAACTAATTCAAATGAATTGAAACGAATTAACATTTTTGGTAGGCTCCAATTCGTATTTGTCACAAAGCGGGATTCACTCAAGCTCTTTGTATATTCAATTGAATTTAATTCAATATGTACCAATTTGTCCAAACGAATTCGCATTCGAAAGAAATGGCCAAGGAATGCATTGAATTTGTGCTAACGAATTGAAAAAAATTAAAGGCTCAAAACTTGTCCAGTGAATTGGTACGGATAGAAGGTTCGGAAGTTCAATACAGTTTCACGAATTCAGGAAAATTGCATCATGGCTCCAATTCGTATTTGTCACAAAGCGGGATTCACGAAAGCTCTTTGTGAATTCTTTTTAATTCATTTCAATTAGTTTTCGTTTACTGGGTACTCTTATCTCATGACAAAAGAATTTTATTAGAAAGAAAATATAAATAACTGAATTTTTATTCCTTTTTATCTTGTAGACTGATTGAAAATGTAGAATAAGTTGCACTAATATAAGTTTAACTTAATTGAATTATCCATAATTAGGTACGAAGGATTGAATTATCCATGATAGGCACGAAGGCATAGATTTCTTGTAAAGAAATAAAATCTATTATTTCTTTTCCACAAGTTCTTTTAATATGGAGAAAAGTATCTTTCTATCTTCTCTATTTTCTTGGTGGCGCAAGTTGGCTTCCTCCCTAAATTGGTCAATAGAAGATTTCTTTAAATTTGTACGTCGTTTCTTAATTATTTTATGCGCTGACAAATCTTCTTCCTCTTCTGTATCATTGTCATTATTACTTGTAGATTTTTCTTTAATTTGTTTCTGAACTTTTTGTCTATATCCTTTAAGATTTGAAGCCAACGCAAGAGGAGTAATTTCGGGTTTATTGAACATAACTTCATCCATCTCATCATAATACTTCCATGTAACTGGTTTTCCACCAGTCTGGTTTTTCAATATTTGTTTTTCTTTATACATCCTGCAGAGCAGCTTCCACTTTGATTCGCATTGTGTGGAACTTTTTTTATAACCATTTTTCTTCATTTCCATCGCTATTTTGTTCCAAAAAATTGAAGCTAACATCTTGTGACTTGTTTTCTTTTTCATATCTGCACATAATACAATTAAAAAACGGCTTTCTTCTTCCGACCAAACTGCTTTGACTTCTCCTAAAGTGTAAAAGATTTTGATTGAATTAAAATTTTCAAATAAATTTGATAATTATTAATTAAAGTAAAATAAATCCTATTCGCCACAGTCATGAAACCAAATTGAATGCTGTATAATTTTGATAAATACAAATCTTTAACAAATAAAGTTCAGGTTTTGCTACATTTTATTAAAAATAGACTTTTTTGCTTCGTAACGTTTGTATATCAAATATGTGAATGACTATAATAAATATTACAACATTAAATTTATAATTACTTTATATTTAATACTTCATACTTAGATAAAAATTATTCTTTTCTTACTGGAATTCGAGTGGCGTTTTTGAAACAGTTTTTGTCTGAATTCCAGTCGCAAAAACCAATACAGAATTGATAAAAAACATTCAACAGAAATCCAAATGAAATTCTGCCCGTAATATCTACGGGAATTTTTTGGGAAATTCGGCTAGGAATCCGGTATTTGAAAGGAATTCGCACGAATTTTGTACGAAATTCGTTCGGAAAAGTTGTAGGAAATTATATTGTTTAAAAAATTAGAAGCAATTATTACGTGTAGAATTACTACCAGATTCCTATCAGATTTGACCGAATTTTGTACATAATTAGTTTAAATTGTATTAAAAATAATTGAAATTCTGCAATGAGTTTTATTATTTTTGAAAATAATTAAATCTCTAAAAGGAATTTGAAAATTTATTAAAATAATTTAATTAGTGCGAAGATTTAATGTCTAAATTTTAAAATATTTTATTTTTTCAAAAAAAATTTATGCAAATTCCATTTTACATAATTTTATTTCTTTGAAAAATAATTTAATTTTTAGTTAGAATTTTGTCAGAATTGTTTTTAAATAATTGAATTCCTTTGGGAAATTTTATTAATATATCAGAATATTGAAAATCATTGAATTAAGAAAATTTTTTAAAATGATAGAAATTTGGCCAATTAATTAATTAATTATTAATTAACTATTACAATTTAAATGTTCTTTCATTCATTCATTTACTTTTTCTGTCCCTCACACTCTGAAGATGTCTTTTATTTATACTTTTGTTTTTGTTATCATTAGATAGATTGTATATTATATTAATACTAGAAGATTTTACGCGCGGAACGTGATATTCAATTTATTATTGTTATGCAAATTACAAATATTTTTAATCTTTAAATATAAGTTTTTAAAATAATTTCATAATAAAAATTTTAAAAATTCACTTATTAAGTACAAAATTAATTATTACTGTTCATATTTTCTAAAATTTTAATAAATCCTTCGAAAAATTCAATTATTTTTATAAATATAGTAAAATTATTTACAAGAATTAAATTATTTTTAATCAAATTTCAATAAAACTACATAAAATAGTTCAATTATTCTCAAAATATTTTTAAAAAATTCTATATAAAAATTAAATTACTTTCAATGCAATTTTTAAATATATTCGTCAATAAAATTAAAAGAATTCAATTATTTTCAAAAAATAATAAAATTCTTGTGATGAATTCAATTATTTTGAATATACATAATTTTAATAAAATTCTTTAAAGAAATTCCATTCTTTTCGAAACAACTTTAATTGAATTTATAGAAAGTGAATTTATCATTCGGCAGTTAAATATTAAAGGAGAAAGAAGCTGTCAATTATCCGAATCAAATTTTTATAAATAAATTAAATATCTTAAATATAAGCTCATGGATTTCATATGTATCGACAGCACAGCTGCCCGAATACAGAAACCTGCTTAATCTGAAAAATATTTTCAAAATTAATTAATAATTTCAAAATTATCAAAGAACTCAGAAAAAACACTCTTTGGTTTTGTCATTTTTTAAATCTTTAAAAATATAGCCACTTTAATTAACAAAATAACAACTACTAAATAAAAACACAACGTCGGACAATCGAATTTACCACAGTGTAACGACAAAAGTGAGGTTATGTCACATTCTCTTAAATTCTCAGAGAATTTAATCGTCGGTTATATTCTCGGTAATATTCTCTGGGTAATATAACCGACTTAGAACACTATACCGCAGTCGTGCATTGCTGCTGTAACTATGACTATTTTTTACAAAAAATTCAATATCTCCGGAACCAGTTGAGTCTCCATCAATTTTTTTTATGAAATTAAAGGTGAATTCACAAGGAATCCAAATATGTTAATAACATTTTTTTCAGTGAGGAGTAAATAAACAAAAAATTGTTTAAAAAAATTTTTTTAAATTTTTTTATTTAAAAATTAATTTTTTTTATTAACTTTATTTGCATTCTAAAGTACATACTTTTACCTGAAAAATGTGTAAATTTCATAAAAATCCATTAACAATATTTCGAGATATTTAAAATTTTATAAAATTAATATTAAAATTCAAAATGGCGTATCTTCAACAATTTTAAATTTTTTTTTGAAAAAATTTGGGGGATAGAAGTCTCTTATATAGGACTATAATCCCACGAAGTTTTGCGAAAATCGGCAGACCCTTTGCAAATCGTGATATTTCTGACGTGAAATGCCTCGTTAACTATAAAAATGCAAACATTTTTAACTTGTTTTATTTTGTCTATAAAAATGTGCAATTTTTTTCGATTTTCTCTAAAAAAAATTATGACAAATTTGGTTTTGTTCCCATTTCGGTTGTAAAAATTGTCAATTTTAAATACATTGTTTTCTTATTTCTATATTAAAACTTCTATCATTATAGACTTCAAAGAGTTAACATTTATATAGGGTTTAATTTTTAACTAATATGAGCGTTTAATCGCTCGTGCCCTTAATGACATACTTTCCATGCAGTTAGGACAAAAAATTATGTTAGCATCATGGGCGCAAAGGTGATTACGACTCTGGCGAAATTTCGGGACCTCGGGTCCCTTCATTTTGCCATCGTCGCAATCACCTATTTTGCGCCCTTGATACGAAAATAACTATTAGAAGGACTATTGAACTCTCTTCATAAGCAAAGAAAACATACACTTTTGAACCTCTGAATTTGACTCTCCAGTTTTCTCAGTGTAGTAGAATTTTTTAATAAAAATTGATTTAAATACCTGTATGAATTTTAGTTAAAATTCTAGATTTTTTAATTCTATATTACAAGCAATATAGTGTGAATTTTTAGAAATAATTGAATTTTGAAATTAATTTTTTTGAAAAAGTTTAATTGAATTTTTTTATTATTTTAAGTTTTTGTTTTCTAATATAATTTTAATTGAAGAATTGACGAATAATTGAAATGATTTAATTATTATAAAACATGAAAAAATCGATCACTCCCAGTCGAAGACTCGGAGTTATTGATATCTTCATGTTTTATAGTTATGAAAAATTTAATTTGCAGTTTTAAGTAAAATGTTCTCTTATTTGACTCGGACTGGTTATATTTTTGTCCGTAAATGGTCCGTAAAATCCGTATTTTTAAATACTTTTACTTGTTCGAGCCCTTAATAATTAATTAATGCTAAAAAGAAATTAATTTTGCGTATTAATTAAAGACATAAGTATTTATTTAATAATTTATTTAAAAATTGGAATAAAATTTAACTTGTATATTGTGTATATATAGTGTTGATCAGATGCACATGTCAGTTTATATTGAGAAAAATAAGAAAAAAAATGTCCTGCCTGCAGTCTAGTTGGCATGAGACCAAAAGCAACAGCAACTTTTAAAAGCCGAAACGAGATTTCGTAGAACTTTAGGTGTTAATAATTTATTTATTTTTGTGAATTCTTAATCAATTTGGCTTTTCTTTAAAAATAAAATTGTATATTGCACAGCCGATGGAAATTTTCATTTCAATTTAAGTATATGATACTTGTATTATTTTTCTTATAGTCTTTATTATTCTCTATGCTCCATTTTTTATTCTTTATTGATTTTTAGTCAATCTTTTATATTTTTTGTTTCGGTTTATAGAACTCTTTTTTCACAAATTAGTAAAAAATTGTGTTATTCTGCACAATGTGAAAAAAGACTAAATTTAGACTTAATTATTGGCATTGCAATTTTTAAGGTGTAACTGATGAGAAATTTAAATGTTTATTTTTATTGGATAAAAATACAAAAAACAGGTTTATATACTTTTATGACTCGACATTTATTTTTGATTTTTTGAGCCGTTGATCTCTATATCTAATCTGTGATTTTCGATATTTTCGCTATAATGATAAATAGTCGTCAATATTTGATCAGTTATTCATGGCAAATTTTTTCTACCATGTTGTATGACTGGAGCCAAATTCCTATAGAATTTGTAAAAATTTTAAAGAAAAATAATTTTAAAATTTTTTTAATTTATCAGGGAAAGTTCCCTCTTTATGAAAGTTGAAGACTTTGTTTATTTTAAACTATAACATCAAAGTCGTATTTCAATTGCAAATTTGATGCTTTATTACTCATATTTTCAATTGTTTGAGCAGTGAGTTCAAATAAAAATTTATTAAAAATTTTCTGAACTTTTCAAAGCGAGCAATATTGATTTTTTAAATATTGCCTTCAACAGAATTTTCTTTTTATAAAAAAAAGAATTAAAATTCGAAATTGTATTGCTTTTTTATTATTATTTTATAATAAATAATATTATATTATATATTATTTATAATAAATAATAATATTCTTGTTATTTTTTATATTATATATTCTTATTTATAAAGAGCGTTTAAGACAGTTTATTTTATTAAATTAAATTAGAATTATCAAATATTTAAATTCAAAAGCTAAATTAAAATCTACATACACTGAAAAAAAAAGTATTGAACCAAGAAAATTTTTCTTGGTTGAAGCAAATCGTGGGATTGAATACGGCCAAGACTATTAAAGTATTGATTCAAGAAAACGATTTTCTTGACATAGGATATTTGGGAGAAGAACATATATTCTTGATCCAAGAAAATATGGAATTCGACCAAGAAGTTAGTCTTCTTATACGAAGTATGAAATGTATTAAATGAATAAAATATTTTCTTGTTCTAAGAATATATATAGTTAATTGAATTAT